TTTGTCTTGTAGTTTTCAGAGGGCAACAAGAACACTTGTTCATCATTTATAGAAGCATTAAATGCATGAATCATAACTCACCTAAACAAAAAAAATTCCTGATTAAGCAGCTTATTACAGCCTGAGCAAGGCACTATCTTTCCTACAGTTCATCATTTAGATCCCCTTGCCTTTATAAGTAGCATTTTAGGGTTGCTTACAACTACTTGATACAAAACCCCACAAACGAGCAAAACATCTTATTATTATCTAAGCAGCATCTAGCAGTAGCTAATTAACTACAATTGTTCACCCACAACTTACAATCTGGCCAAGAGAAGAAATGAATATCAACACAACAGCATAACACTCCCTAATAACATACTTACTTGTAAACCTGAAGCCTACGTAGCTTGCTTTACCTACATAGAGATGACCTTATATAGGGTTATGGAGTCGCACCAAATTACTTCCCTGCCTGGCCTTGCCCTTTAGATCCCTAACACATCGTTCCTATCCCTTTTTTCATTGCAGTTGCTTTTTATTTGTCTTTTCCTTTTCTCCTAGGCATGGCTGCAATCTGCTGTCAAGTAAACATCATTGAATCTCCTGGAGAATTCAAGATTGTAGAAAGAGAGATGTTCGTAGAGGTATTCCAACAAAGCAGAGTTGGCGTCCTTTTGGATAACACTCCTGTTCCTTTGCCTTTAACACAGAAATACTTCAGGTGAAGCTTTTCCCCACCTTTTTATCCAGGGTAAGGTAAGCCTGCACATCAGGTGGGAGTTGGAGTCTCCAGAACAGCAAGAAGGAACCCAACCCATCGCTAGCAATTTCTCTGTGTACATGGCACATGATGTCTAGTGGGCTATTCTGCTTTCCAGCACTCCTGTTTCACTGATGGATCAATCAATGCAATGCATCATCATCATCATCATTACTACTATTATTACCCAGCCATTTCACCATGTGCTGGTTTTTCAAAGCAGCTTTTCAGCAATCAGAGGTCCTGATTACAATAGTACTGCAGGCTAAAATCCTGCTGAAACTCCATGGCAATGAGATCCACAATTAAAGGAAGCTAATTAAACCCCACAGTTTTACATGGGGGTGAGCAGAGACGTTGCAGCACAGCTGTTACTGCTGCCCATCTCTAGGAGCAATGCGCAAACCAAGCAGCAAAATGAAAATAAGGACTTGTGTGCTGCTTGATTCCTCATGGAGAATATTTTCGGAAAATTTGGGGGAAGCACGCTTGCCTCTCAAGACATGAGGGATCCTACAATTTGCTTTCTGGAATCTGGCCCATGACCCTATTTTACAAGCAGCTATTTTGAAGGCTGAGATTTAGAATAAGAAGATGATTTAAAAAACACAGACCAAAAAACACCCTTCACATTCCTGTGTCAAATGGGACTGATATGGCTATTTGTGTGCCCAACTGAGGTTGCTCTGTGTCCTACATCAGAAGCAGGGTGTGAGGATGTTCACATGAAAAAGAGGATAGGTCTCCTGCGTTCTTAAGGGTTCCTCAAAAAAGACAACATTTTGGAATCCAAATAGTTTCAGCAGGTGTGGCCTACCTGCAGGCTACAGGTGATGAAATTTCCTCTCCCACACCAATGTTAGAAACACAAGAACCCCCTCCTCCATCTCACGTGGCCAGCTTGCCTGTGTGAATGAATTTCAGGAGAACACCGTGCTTAGTGCTGACGTCCAACCATGAAAATAATCAAAATCATTATACTGAAATGTAAGAACATCAGCCAGGAATTCACCTGTTCAAAGCTGAAACAATATTATCTTTAGAATCTCCTCACAATGCCAGAACTTTAGCAGAAACTCATGATATAAGGCTGTGGTGAGTAGCGGTTTAGGTCTCTGATGGTGGAGCCAGAGACTGGGAGTTTGATTCCCCACTGTGTCTCCTTGAGAGGGGCTGGATTCCATCATCCATAGGGTCACTTCCAGCTCTGCAGTTTGAAAATGATGATGATGTATATGAAGAGAGATTCAATTTGAACTGAAAACACATTTACATACAATAAGCTTGCTGGAAATGAAAAGACTTGGCTACTACCTCTATGTAGGACCATTAGCAATATCTCTGTGTTCATGTTTATTGATTTAATTGATACCATATGCTGCCACCCAAAAGTTCAGGAGAGCTATTAATTTGCATAAAAATGCATTAGAACCACAAGTAATCTAAGTCTAAAATCACATATCCCAATCTGCAAAAGGCTATTACAAATTATGTACACATGACCCATATGTAAATTTATAAGTATTTAAATTTGTAAATAATAAACATTTGCTGAAAAACTGACGAGAGCGATACAAACAAGCAGTGGTTGGACCCAAATATTTGTTTATTCCCCCAAAAAATCCATGCAATGTTCGTGTTTTTAAATAGCCCCTGAAATAAAAATGTGGGCAGCTGTGTGTGAGACGTATATGCAACTGTAATAATAATAAACATTCAGCAGTGCTGTCTAGCTGCTAGATACCATTATAACAGCATTTGGTTGATAGGAACTGGCAGAAGTCATGTTCTCATCAGTGTGAAGGTGAGGAAGGTATTACAGCAATGGAATGATGTTTCAGCTGATGGGCAGATTAAACAAAGGTCATCAAAAAAGCAATAATTACAATTTACCAAAATAAGAGATTACAAGACTACAGGTTTCTTAATCACTGTCAAGTGATTTGCTGGCATTACAACCCAGAAGGGTTTTTTTAATTAGAAGCGAGAATGCAATTATCAGAAAGTGGCTGTCCTTTTCTTAGCTGAAAGCAAATGGGAAAACAGATTCTATCCTGGGAGAGAGTTTCCAAAGATGATCCCCAGTGAGTATAATCTGAGTGATAGGTAGCATAATGGGAGTTGCATTTATTTTAAGAGCTTAGCTATATTAGCTCTTGTGTGCATAAGAAGAATAGTAATAATAATTGTGTGCCATCAAATCAATTCGAAATAATGGTGACCCTTTTCGAGATTTTCCAGGTAGCAAATACATGGAATTTACCATTCTTTTCTCTGGAGAAATTCTGGGACTGTGCAGTTTGCCTAAGGCTACACAGGCTGGCTCTTTTCCCAGGAGCTACAGCGGAGAATCAAACTCCCAACTTCTGCCTCCACAAGCAGATACCAAAATCATTGAGCTATTCGGCCAGCTTGTAGATATAATTCCTAATTACTGTACAAGTAAGAATGAATCAAAGGGGTATGGCTCATTATCAAAGGTCAAAGATCAAAAAGAGTGGTGTTCTTATTGCACCACTCAAATCTCGTGAAAAATAGGAACTTTTGAGTCACCAGGAATCTTCATTGACATGGGTATTGCACTTTGGGCAGGACACAGGAGAAATGAAAAAGTGGACAAATTGTGCTGGCTGGATGCTGAAGTTACAAAATCTGGAGTTACCTTCCAAGAGGGAGCCTGGAAACCTTCTAAATCTTTGATAATACAAAATTTCGTATCAGCAGATGGTTGACTCAGGGGTCTCCCTGTACCTCTATTGACAAAGGAATGGTGGCCATGTAGTGAATTCTCTGTTGACCCTTTTTTTCCTTGAAGTACAGTCCTCTGATTGGAAGCAGAAGCACCCAGAAACATGGCAACCCCCCATTTCAGAAAAGGCAGAGATGAAATCTAGGTGGCCCAATCACCAAAAACAATTGAAGCCGCATTACAACTACCATCTAATTGTTGGAGAGAAATGGGCTCTTCCCATGTCAGAGCAATCCTCTCAAATTGCATGGTAGAGCTCAACACTCATGGAGCTTTGATCTAAGAGACAAGAAACTGCCAGTTCATCCACCTCTCATATTTAGTGTTGGGGTAATGACATCACTTTGCCCAATGGTAGGGCCAGTGCTGCGCAGAAAGAGAATAATGCTTGGAATCTTGGTGTTTAGCTATCAGTCCCAGTTAGAACTGCCTCCTTTTAACAGTGGTCGATAAAGTCACCACCATCCTTCAACATTCAGGATCCTACACTATCTGAAATGTGCAAAACAGCACCAGTAATACAAAGTTACCTGCAGGTCAAAACACCCCAGCAGCTCTTGCACCCATTTCTCCTTTGGGAGGCAGAGCCAAAATGGGGAAGGAAGGACTGGTGAACACTTAGGACAACCTTATATTCTGGGAAGAAAAACGCACCCAGAATAATGAGGGCAATTGTGTAAGTGAATTTTGCAGAATGCCAGTTGTGCACCCGAGCCAGTCCCACGGTTGTGCAACTAAGCAAGATAACAGATAGCGCTGCTTACGCAATTGCTCTTAGGCCGCAATATAAAGCAATAGGATCCTGCCCTTGGTTGATGAAGAAATGTGGCTGATCAGCAGAGCTATAAACCTACTGTTATAAGATTAACAACAGTAGTGTCATCTTCAAGGAACTCCCCAATACTTTTAATAGACCAAGAACCATGTTTTGTGCAAAAATTGCCATTTGGATTGAGAATTCCCCATTATTGAGGGCTTCCCCAAGGGTGGGAGATTGATGGCCCCCTCCAGTTTTTGATTATTTCCAGTAGTTGCCAAGCTAGGCAAAGCTCATAGGTACTAGAGTCCAATAACATATGGAAAGTTATATGTTCCCCAAACCTTCACCACATGGTGAAAATTTAGTGTCCTCCACCATGCCCCTTAATTCTGCTTTGATCAACATCAACAGAACTCATGATCCTTCTTGCCTTACTCCCAGTAAGATGTCTGTGCAACTTCCACCAAAGACATGGCTAGGATAGAATGCGAACAGTTGGTATCTGTGACTTCTGCCTGATGTACCCACAGCTTAGAAAAGTGATTTTACAGGACAACGCTTGAATCTCCCAAAAGCATGGGTGGCAAGAACCTCTTAGGACACCTTCCAGTAAAGAAATATGCCATGCACTGAATTATGTGAGTAGGCAGCACAACAGCAGTCATCAAGGGAGGCAAGGCATGGATGGTGCTGATGAGAACTAGATGTGTGCATTTTGGAGGTGGAAGAGAAAGACGCCACACTACTGTGAGTAAAACAGATTTTTATTAACATTTAAAATGACAGCTGTCGCAGCCATCACTCACTTCCCCAACCCCTCTCTCTTCAGACAGAAGAGGCATCCAGAGACAGCTATCTAATCACAACAAAAAACAATGGATCCAGAGGCACCCAGGCAGCAACACCATTTGGAAGAGCAGCTCTGATGCTGAGCCCATTCAGCTCTAAAAGGAAGGGAAGAAGGCGGCAGACAAGTGGTGTTTAAGACCTGTCAGATAGAGCATTCCACTTGCTTACCAAATCAGAGAAGTCCAAACACATCCACTGAACCTAGACATCCTTCCTGGTCTTCTTCTCTTCTAGGAAGAGGCTTCACGTTGCAAGATGGTTCTTAGCTGTGTTGCAGCAAAGGATCTGTCCTACCTTCAAGTAGCATTACAATATTGAGCTTGGGAAAGTTGCTTTTGGATTACAATTCCCAGATCTCAAGATTTTGAGAAGAGCAGCCCCAAAAAAGTAACTTTCCCAGATTTTAAATTTGATTACCAACACCTTCTCAAAAGACTTGTCAAGGCATAGTATGAACTGATATTAAAAAGCAGTGCATGTCAATGTTGAGTTCTTTGTACAGTCTTAAGGTGTCTGCCTTAACCTCAAGATTACAAAATAGTGCAGCAAAATCGCTTCCTCTTTCCTGAGATCAGGGGCCTCAGAAGCTTGTCCTCTTCATTTGGTGCATCAGTCGGCTTCTCCATAGACACAGGAGAACCTACATCTCCGAAGCAAGCTTGAGTTTGTTCAGCATCTTCTGTCACAGCCTCTGCCTGGCGATCAACAGGTGTGACCCTCAACTCAATGCATATTTGTGCATCCTCTTTCGACAAACATCTTTCACCTGTATCAGGAACCTTTGGCGCTTCTGTTTTCTCTAAAGCTGGCTCATCAAGAAAGGCTTTATCAACTTCTTTTATGGATGAGGACACTGTTGAATCCGAAATCTCTAGCCAAGTCTTTGCAGAAGGCTTTGAACTAGTCCATGCCACAGCTTCTAAGGAAGGTGAAACTGGTAAAGCACCCACGGCTGGCATCATAAGTTCCACCTCAGTGAAATTCATGGTCTCATCTGTAGCCACCGCAGTTTCATTTTTAAGGAGAGTCAATACTGTTTCATCAGGTAGCTCATGTTTGTTGATTACAGTTGGTTTCTCGTGAGCCAGGTGGCCCAAGGTATGCTCCAAAGATTGTCCTCCAACATCCAACCCACATGTCTGTTCAGCACATTGGCTTTTGTCCAGAGAGGTCAAGTCCCTCAGCTGGGCTTGAGTTCCCTCTGCGTTGTCCCCACTACAACAACTGTCTGCATTAATTTCTGATGTCATTTTGGACTCCTCCTCAGTATCCATGACACTCTTCGGAACTGATACAGGCTGATCACCCTCCTGGCTGTTCTCTTGAAGTACTTGTGTCTTTGATATTTCTGCTGGCATGGAGAAACCATCAGATTTCTCCTGCTCTTCGTCACTTTGCCCTACATTCTCTTCACCAGAATCATTCCCAGTCATTCCATCAGGAGATGCCTCTTCAGTTGGTTGCCCCTCAGATTTCTCCAGCTCAGATGAGCGGCCTTGCAGCTCATCTTCAGCACAGACCTCCTCTGATGCTCTCTGCACCACATCAGCCGATGCTTCCCCATCTGGTTGCAAGTCAGAGATTCTGGTCAGCCTAATTTGATAACCCTTTACGTCAAGAAAGACACCAGAGCCTTGGATGCTTTGTTCCATCCCCATGTCTGGAGCTTCCAAGGTGGTGGACACAAATGCTTCAACAACTGAAGAAGTGGGAAACTTGTATGAGATGTCCACCAAGAAGCAGCCTGGAAAACAGAAATATAACATGTTACAAGAACTTCCAAATAGCCAGTCCAGTACATTGGCTCCATCACCAGAGCAAGAAATGAACAACAAAGTCTTTAAGGTGCTAAAAAGTTTTATGTGGCCTCAGCTGTCACCCTGGAGTGCAGCCCACTTCACATTATAAAGCTTCACTCTTGTCTAAAATAAAAATGCCACCTAATATCAAAGCTGGATTGTCTCAGACATAAAGACTACACAGCTGTATTGACTGCATTTACATTGACCATATTTGTGGTTCTTTCCACACCAGCCTAAAGCTGGAGACATTACACCTTCCAATGGCTTCTTCCATGTATAATCCACAGGTGTGGCTTCTCTCATACCTATGATACTCTCAATATCAGCAAAACCTGAGTAGGTCATGATCCTAGTTGGAAGCATCCACAGCTCCTAGGATCTTTTCTCAGAGGAATGTGTTGAACCGTCTTTATAGCAGGGAATCCATTTATAACAATGAGTTATTTCCTTGGGATTGATTCATTTCACATTCATTCATTAAGGTATAACAAAATGGCATCGTAATTCTAACGAGAAAAGGCTTCACTCCTTTTGCACTTTCAAAAAAGCGATTGAAAGCATTCAGTTAGTTTTGAAAAATGAAAACCAAAAAAGGCAGAATCTCCTTTTTAAAAATGTGCAACTGTAACAGAAAAAGAGAACTTTGGAATTCAAAACAATAACTACAACGAAAGGTTTAGCCATTACAGCATCCACCTTGGCTAATCAGCCTTGAGCATACAAGAACTAAGACAGTCGGCTATGATTAAGATGTGTGCCTTTCCTAACTTTTGCATACAAGGGATTTTTAAGGGCAGATTAGTGTGCTGTGTTGAGGTAGGTGCCACCCATCACATTTTGCCATACTCAAGAGACAAAGCAATGTTTTCACTCTATCTCTTGACACCTTACTGACTAGTCATTAAGCAGTCCAGGAACTGCCTTACTCAAGGTTAAGATTAAGGTGAGGGCTACCCACATAACCCCTAAGAAATCCAGATTATGCATGCTTGTATGGCTTGGCCATACTTCTAATTCACAGAGACACAATTGCTTTTGTAGAAATAGCATTAATACTAACCAATACTTTAACTTGCTTTAAAAGTTAGAGAAAAATCAATGTTATAGCAATAATATAGACTCACGTCCTTCCTTGCTCTAACAAAAAAAAAGATTTTCTTACCTCTGAACTCAGTCAAACAGCTATAATACTACCTCGTTGGGCTGGTCTTAAATAAAGCTGAAGAGCCACGCTGAACAACTTCCCCTCAAAGCCCTGCACTCCTAGTTCCTAGCGACGTTCTACCGAGAGAAATCAATGTTACAGCAATAATATAGACTCACGTCCTTCCTTGCGCTAACAAAAAAAGGTTTTCTTACCTCTGAACTCAGTCAAACAGCTATAATACTACCTCGTTGGGCTGGTCTTAAATAAAGCTGAAGAGCCACGCTGAACAACTTCCCCTCAAAGCCCTGCACTCTAGTTCCTAGCGACGTTCTACCCTTGTTTCTCAAATGATGACTGCAATCTGAAACACAGAAAGCAGTATGTTCCTTTAGATTGAGTTTATCTCTCAAATATGCAGTATTTAAGATCAGACTGTTAAATGAGAGATTTCATAGGGATTACCCCACACCTGAGGATGGCTACCACTTTCTAGACTCCTCTCCTGGCCCTTTAAGAGCAACAAAACACGAGAATTCTCCAGGTGAAGCTTTCTCTGCCAGTCCCACCCATGTCATAAAGTAGCCATGTTTGTCATGCTGCAGCTAAAACAATTTTAAAAGGTGACAACGGTCTTTTATTGCTGAGATGGGTAGGGAGCTGAGATGGGTAGGGAACACCAGAAGATGCTGAACCATGACTCCCATCGTTCCTGGCCACCAGCTATGTTGGCAACTGCTGATGGGAGTTGTAATCCAGCAACCTCACCTGGAAGTGTTGGCCATCTCTGCTTAAGAAGCCCACAACTCTCTTCTTAAGCAAGCTCCCTATATCATTTATCAACATATACAACATTCATTTCCCATTCCTTAATTGTTTATTCCATCTTCTCCCTCTTTCCATGCTCTAGAGCAGTGTGCATGGCTGCAACCCTATTTAGACTTAAATGTGACAAATGGAGCTTACTCACAGCAGGTGTTATCTCCGAATGAGTAAACATGTATGGCATTCATCTACATATTTCTCAAAATACACACTTCGAAGCAGCAGTATTCTTAACAGTCCGTAGGAGATGTTTTCCCCCCTCGGATATAGTTATTCCAACTTGTTAATTTCAGAGCAACCCTTATTCAAGTTTTATTGCATAGAAACTCAAGTTTCTCTTTGTTCTGAACTAGGATTGTGTCCAGTAATGGACACTTTGGAAACAGCAGGGCAATACCTCAGTTCATTTCTGGAAGATCAGTATCTCCCGGTTTTGCCTGGGGAAAATAAATTCAGGATTGTCAAACTGCTTGGTTAGGGACAGATTGTTAAAGGACTCCATACTCAGCTTCTCCTGATGTTGCAAGTAAGGCAGGGCCATTGATGATTCTTGCCCTTGTCCTTCTTTATTGTTTTTGTGATCTAATGGCCAGGTTCTTATTCTAAGTACTCAGCAAAACAGGAATTTTGCAGACTGTCATCATGCAGTGAGTACAATATTTCAGACCAAGTCAAATTATCGGAGACTTAGGACTTCTAACTACATTCTTGAAAGAGGACGCTGTGAGGAAGGGAGACAGCTCAGAGCATCTGCTTTGCATGTGTCAAGCACCAGGTTCATATGGCTGCTGCCAGTTGGTGAAGACACTATGACGCTAGATGTAACATTAGCCTAAAAGTAGCTTTAGATTTGAAGATTAACATCAGAATGACCTCAAGTCTATACACTTCGAGGGTTTGCCAAGGGATGATGGCTTTTCTGAACTTTATGACACTATGGCACAATGAGGTGCATTTGTCAGGCTTTGCATGCATGCATAAAATGCACAGGAGCCTTCTCCTCTGTTATATCTGGTTCAATGGGAATGTAAGGCAAGACTAAAAGGAGACCAAATAAAAGAACTATTTAGTTTGGCGCTCTGATTCCCATATAGGCCAACTGGATGCCTATGGAATAAACCCTGAAAAGAGCACCTTAGCATCACCCTGTTGATTTCCCCCAGCAAGTGGTATCCAAGAGCATGTGTCCCTGTTGCTGGAAGTAGCCTATAGTGGTCATCAGCCATGCCCATTCACTAATCTTCCATGAATGTGCCTTAGTCTCTTTTAAAGCCAGTTGAGTTGGTGGCCAACAGGTCCCAGTTCAAGACTATAACCACTACACCGCATTGTGAATCCCACGTGCTGTTGGTTTAACAACACTCATGTTCCTTTAAGCTCAATTCTACACACAAAAAAGGAAACTTCGGTCCCTGGGGTCCCCTGTTACATCAATCCAAATGAGAGAAAAACCTCCATTCTATAGAGCACTTACAATTTAAAGAAAACGTTCGTACTGAATCCAGAGGTTTCTCAATGTGTTGCTTTCAATATGTCTTTATGGTCTCAAGCAAAGAGATGGCCATCTTTCTGGGTTTTTATAGCCCTCTAAAATGCACCAATTCTTTTTTTAAGGAACTGGTGCTAATTTAAACACCAGCACTGCCTGTTGGGGGTCCTTTCTTCTTTAGCGTTATTGCCTAAATGAAATGCATAGCCTGAAAGAGACTAGGTCTACCAGACCAGTTGAATTCATATGATTGTTGTCGTATCTTGACTCAACGGGTGATTTACTCTGGTTGGGACCAATAATTGGATTTAGGCTTCTTTATCTCTAGGGATCAATTCTTTCAATAGAATAATAATCAGGACTTTGAAAGCCCACGGGAAATCTGGGCTACAAGGAGTGCATCCAAAACTCAGCTCCCAGTACCACCCCCAAGCCTTCACTCTTCCATTTTTCATGAGCAAAACCCTCCTTGTCAAACGTGGTCCTTGAGGTTTCCAACTCCTTGGGTATGGGGGGGGGCAGGAGTGCGCTACAAAGCTTTAGCGACACCCTTTTTTGTTCTCTATAAGTGGTGGAAAGATGATTGAGATGGTGTTAATTCATTTGCATGCTGCAAGCCATTCTTTCTAGGATATGTCGGGAGAAAAGTAGAAAAGCAATTTCCAGCATGTGAAAACCCCCCCTCAAAAAAACTGCTTCTTTATTGCCAGAGCAGTACAGATATAAAATATGGCTATCTGACGACATCATAACCTTGAGATATGACTTCCTTCCCTTGCTTGGCAATTGGCAGTTGTTCGGGGAAGCCAATAAATTAGTGCAGCTACAGGCCGTGGAATCAACAGGAGAAGCCTTTCTTTGCAAACATCTGGGTGTATTTCAAAGCAGAGCCCAACGTGGTGGCACCTGTCCATGGCTATAATTAAGCTTTTAATAAGAAGTCTGAAGGCTTTTAATAAGAAGTCTGAAGCAGTGGGCGTGGTGTATGGGTGTGAAAGCTGAGCAGTGAAGAAAGCTGAAAGGAAAGAAATGGATTTCTTTGAAATGTTGTGCTGGAGGAGAGCTTTGTGTATACTCCGGGTGGCTAGAAAGACAAAGAAGTGGGTCCTAGATGTACTCTGGGTGGCTAGAAAGACAAATGGGTCCTAGATTGAATCAAGTCTAAACTATCTGTGGAGGCAAACATGTTGAAACCGAGGCCGTCCTGCTTTGTGAGCACATTGTGAGAAGAAATAATTCTATGGAAAAGACAATAATGCTGGCAAAAGGAGAAGGCAGCAGGAAAAGAGGAAGATCAAATATAAGATGGACTGACTCCATAAAGATAGCCACAGGCTTCAGTCTACAAGAATTGAGCAGGGAGGTTGAGGACATGACATTTTGTAGATTGCTCATTCATAGTGACCGTAAGGCAGAAGTTACTTGATGGCGCATAACAAGAAGTTTTCATCATGAAATCTGAAGGAATGGCATGCTGCTGTTCTGTTAATCTGAAATGTACAGTATCTAGATTCATTTTGTGTGGTGTTTTGCCAGTGTGTAGGTGTGCATCAGCCAAACACTGCACAAAAAGAATCTTCACGCGACTAAGAATGGGTGTATGCATGCAGCGTTTTCTCTATGTGTACCTCAGAAATGGAGGTGTGGATGAGCTGCAGCAATTGCAGACCTGAGCAAAAGGTGCTCGATCAGCCGGGATAGCTTGCACGAGAAGCCACATCCAACACAATCTCCATCAAAGGCACAGGAGCCCTCTCCTCTTTTTCACATGGCAACCCTGGAGGAAAAATCTGCCCCTTCCTCAAGAAAAAAGGGAAGGGCTTTTGGGAGCCAAATGATGTTCCCGGAGGGGACTGGTTGAAGGTTGATGATATAAACAGCAGATCGGCTGTCATCTTCCCCTGAATGAAAAGTGGTGACCTGTGAGTGACCCCAGATTGTCAGATGCATCAGACTGCTTGTGTTCCTTCTTGTTGTGTTTTGTTACAGTCATTTTACCCAGAAGTGCCGGCTCTCGGTCCTTAAGCTTAAGCATGATGCTGGGAGGTTGGGCATCCATCTTTCACTTTCCTAGAAATAGCTTTTGTTTACAAATAAATATGTCCTGCTTCTGCGGATTACACCACTCTGACAGGGTGCCTGCTTCCAAAGCAAGATTTATGGCCTGCTTTTCAATTGGCGGAGAGATCTATGGCTGCCACGGCAGCCAATCCCAAAAATGGATCTCGGGTGTCAAACCCAGCTCGACACCGACTCCTGCAACAGCCTTACAGCTCAGATGACATACGACTCTGGAGCTGGCAACGTTCGACACAGACCAATCAGATCCAGAGCAAACGACCATGTCATTAAACTCTTTCCTTACTGATGTGCTTCGCAAATGGGATTGACTAAACATTCCCGTGGCGATCTGTCACATTAGCTCAATTTCTTTTGATTCAACTTGTGGTCCTAGGCTTTTGATAGACCTCTGGCTCCATAGTCGTAAATGCATCATTGTAATGTCAGGATTATCCAGGAGACAAACTTCTGTTTCCATCAGGAAAGCACAAAGCTCAATGCTGGCATATACAACTGAGTAAATAACCATAGACGCTGTTCCAAGTCCTCCATACAGAGCACGTTACCATAGTCTTTCGAGACTGAAGGATGCCTAACTAAATAACCATAACGCTCTGTAGTTTCAAAATTGCAGTTGCTCATGATTTGATGACTCACAAACAAATCTCTGAACCAATTCCTGTTAACAGCATGGTGGGTGATGAGATAACAAGTATAGAGTGGCCACATACAAATTAGAACTAGACTGCTGTATTTTTCATGGCTGTTTCTGTTGGAGTTTTTGCAGAGTTGCATACTGTGTTCCTGTTGGG